CCGAGAGACGCCAGCCCCTGGCGTGCAGGTACCAGCTGTGTTCTGTGTTGTGGTATGGCCGTTTCGGATCCTGCGATGAGCTTGCGTCAGAAACACGGTACAGCAGACCGGGGACACCGGCGCCTGCTTTCACATCCTGGAGAAGTGAAACAGCCATTCCTCGCAACTGCACTTGGCGCCCTTGCTGTTCTCGAGCCTCCAATACGTTTTGCGAAAAAAGAGGTTTGCCATCACACAGGTGAGCTGCTGACTGCTTTGTGATCAAATGCAGATTTGCATTGCTGAGAAGCCCAGGGAGACTGCAGGAACCAGAGCAGAACTCGAAAGACCTCATTTTAAAGTTTGTTTTTTAGAAGAAAACCCGTGCAAAGCCATAACCCTGGAATGATGCTGTGTTTTCCTTCGCACCTGCGGCTTGTTGCAGGGGTGTCTGCACACCGGAGCTCTCCCCCGGGGAATTCTGGGTAGCCCAAGATCCGCCAAGGCGTGCCCTTCCCCGCCACGCCTCCTTATTTCCCCTCTCATGTCTGCGACCTTGTCCACTTTATTTTTGTTTTTAATAATAATTTATAATAATAATGGCTTACACTTCAGTAGCGCTTTTCTGGACATTCCACTCAAAGCACTTTACAGGTAATGGGGATCCCCTCCACCACCACCAGTGTGCAGCATCCACCTTTTTACTCGATCATTATCTCTGTTGATATTAATAAACACAGGTTGGTGGCCGATGGGGGAGGTTCAGGGCTGGGGGTGTCACTGGCTGACCCCCCCAGATAACGAGGCAGCACCCCTGCAAGTACTGTGCTGTAGGGAGAGAGGGAGAGGGCACAGGTCTAGTCCACGAGCCTGCACCACAGGGTGGCCATTTCTTGCTGGATAATGTGTTTTTTGTATTAACAACCTTGATTTTGAATACATGTGCGTGGATTTTCTTTTTGAGCTTCAGCAATACCACTTCTTCAGCAGCTCTTCGTTGTAAAACTGGAAATGGATCAGACTGTTGTGGAGTGGGAATCTTGGTTCCTGCTTCTTTATGTGTTTGGTTCTACAGGAAACGACAGTTCAGGGGTGCATTTGTCGCTCTTTGTCACTGACCCCATTTTTTTTGGTCTCTCTCTCGCTCTCACCACCCCCCTGACCTTGTCCTCCCTCTTACTTCTCTCTCGCTCTCCCTTCCTCTCTCCTCTCTCCTCATCTCTGTCCCTCCCCCTCTCTCTTTCCCTCTTTCCTCTGTCTCCTCCTATCTCTTTCCCCGTCTTCTCCATCTCCTCCCCTCTGTCTCCTCCCGTCTCTCCCTCTCCCCAGGTGACGTTCACCAAGCGGAAGTTCGGGCTGATGAAGAAGGCCTACGAGCTGAGCGTGCTGTGCGACTGCGAGATCGCCCTCATCATCTTCAACCACTCCAACAAGCTCTTCCAGTACGCCAGCACAGACATGGACAAAGTCCTGCTCAAGTACACCGAGTACAACGAGCCCCACGAGAGTCGGACCAACGCAGACATTATCGAGGTACACAGCCCTGAGCCGGGGGGGGCATTGTTGGGGTTTCCTGAGTGAGGGGGGTCAGCCATTTCCCACTTCCAGTTTCCACTATTACTGTCTGACTCTCCCTAGATAAGTTGCCAGTGCTAAGTTTAGCCCATGCCAAAGAAGACAGATGTTTCATTTCGTGTTTTGCACGGGGTATTAAAACCAAAATGCTAATTTCACTGCTTACTTACATATGTTGTTTTTTTGGGGGGTGCGTTTCTGGCTTATTTTGTCGAAGCGTTTGAAGCCGTAGGGCCATGTTCGGGGCAGGCCCTGGCCAGGCCCGTTTGCAGGGCGGCCCATGGGAGATATCCCATCAGCCCTGGCCCAGTGCGGGCGAGGTTAGACCGCTCCGCGGTGGGTGCCTGGGAAGGCAATGGGACGGGGCGAGGAAGAGCCGGATTCCTGTATCCCAGTGGAATCGGTGTATTTCTAAAACCTCATTTCCTCAGGCCAGCAAAAGAAAAAACTGTATAACATTCAACAAATCAAATATCCGAAGCTGCTTAACTATCATGGAACATGCTTCCATAGTTCTGATTT